CCTGCAGCCAGGGGGCGCTGTGAGACCAAGTGCTGCCCAATGGGATGCGAGTACACGTTGCCGGGTCTATTGAAACCTCATGGAGCAAACGCCACCTGCCTGCCTCTGGACCACTAAGAAAAGAAAAAAAGATGCTCTGTCATGTTTTCTGTTTTTATCATAGCAGCTTCTCCTGCATCCTGACACCTGTGGTCCCTGGGAAGGTCCCAGAGAGGCCAGGGGAATCCCAGTGTGGTGAGGGAAGGAGACGGCGCCCAAGCACAGGGCTCTGCCCAGGCACAGGGCCACGGAGCAGTGCGGCTCCATAACAAGGGCTCTGCTGCTGCTTTTTAACTGGACACACCGATCCTCACCTGGCCTCGTGCTGATGGCTTTTCTACCCTCCACGCCTGGCCAGGTGAGGGGCAGCAGGTGCACCACACTCCGACAGGAATGGTGTGCCCCGTCTTCCTCCAAGCGAGAAGTGGACCCTTCTGAGCCTAGAAACCAATACGGGAGCCAGCTTCGTGTGCAGCACGCTAAACTACAGCCCATGTGCAAGGCAAGCATCCCACCTGAGTGCCGGTTTGCTGGTTCCAGACCCAGCTGCTCCACTTCTGGTCCTGCTCCCTGCTAATGTGCCCAGAAAAGCATCCAATGATGTCCCGAGTGCTTGGGCCCCTGCTACCCTTGTGAGAGACCCAGATGGAGATCTGTGGGGAGCAATCCGGACTGGACTAAGTTACTGAAATTAAGACTTATTCTGTGCATCTGCTCTCCCACAATATGGCGCTGGGAGAGAAGTAAACAGCTTCCGCACAGCTGCCTCCAGTTCAACTAATAAACTGTAGGACTTGCTCCTGATTGGAGAGCAGCGTACTCGGCGTGTGGGCAGCCGAGTTGGGATTGGCGGAGGAGGACTATAAAGGAGGAGAGAGACGGCATGCACCGGGAACATCTATGGGGAACATCTAAGGGAACCCGTGCAGCCCCCGAGAAGAGCCGGCCGGCGGTGTGCCGCTCCCCTGCGGAAGTGGGGAATGTGGCCAGGGGGAACTGCCCTTCCACGGAGGTGGAGGGGATAGTGGCCAACCCGGGAAGAACCAGCAGCGGACCCGGGGAGGGCCGAGCAGACGAGAGAGCAGCGCAGGGTCCTGTGTCGTTCCTCCACGAAGAGGGGGAGCGACATAATGGTGCCGTGACTCGGATATGAAGCCTAGGCAGGATTTAGTGTCGTTCCTCCACGAAGAGGGGGAGCGACATAATGGTGCCGTGACTCGGATATGAAGCCTAGGCAGGGTCTTGTGTCGTTCCTCCACGAAGAGGGGGAGCGACATAATGGTGCCGTGACTCGGATAGGAAACCTAGAACGGATAGCAAACTTAGGAGGGAAGAAACGGGAAGAACTGGGAAATTACCGGAGAGAGAGACTAGCAAACAGCCTAGGGAAAAGCCGGACGAAAAGGGTGCCGGAAGAAGCTGTTGAAAGCCTAGGCATAGACTCGTATACGGACTACGGGGGGAAGCTGGGAGAAATCTCTAAGGTCGAAAGCGAAAGTGAAAGCTAGAACAAACAGACTCGGACGCGGACTGTGGGGAGAGGCCAGGAGAAATGAGGGAGGAATGTCGTTGGAGGAAAGCTTGGGGAAACATACCGGGTAGAGAAAAATGTTAGGGAAATTGAAGCCGCGGGGGGCAGGCCAAGGCGGACACGAAAGCCACTTTGGGATTCTCAAGTTAGCCCGGGAATAGGGGGCGAAAAGTTGAAACCAGAAGCTGAAACGTGAGCCAGGTTGGGATCCGTCTGATTAGCCCGGGGAGCAAAGGACGGGAAGCCAAACCGTGGGGCGGAGACGTACGCTGGGTTGAATTCGCCAGGCTAGCCCGGGGAACTTAGATTGAATGCTAATGGCGGAGACGCAAGCTACGCTGTGTTACTCGCGGAAGCCGCCGCGTGCAGAGAGAGCACGGGGCGTGAATAGATAGGGAACGCTGGCGCGAGGCCGTGGTGCGGGCGCGAAGTGCGTGGAGACCGCGGAGCGTGCGCGCAGAGCCGGGAACCCGCCGGCGGGGCGAGGTGCCGGGAAGCCGCGCGGAGCCGTGAAGCTGCCGGCAGGGCGAGGCGCCGGGAAGCTGCGGGGATAAGAGAAACAGAAGTTTAGAAGTAAGATGAGAAAAATAGGAATGCTGGAAGATAGAAGTAAAATGGGAGAAATAGGAATGCCCGGAGATAGAGAAATAGAGAAATAGAAAGGCCTCCCCTCAACATGGCAATTAGAAGGCTTGGATTCGGTCTGCCCAATTAGTGAGGCGATGAGCACCTGGGTGGCTAGCAGCTTATGCGCCGCAGGTCACCGAAGACAGGCACGAATTAACATCAGTAAGGCTTCCCCACAATACCGCAATTAGAAGGCTTGGATTCGGTCTGCCTAATTAAGGCGGTAAGCGCCAGCAAGCAGCTCGACCAGAGTATGAGCTGCAGGTCACCGAAGATAGGCACAAACCAACACTAATAAGTCTCCCCCACAATACGGCAATGAGAAGGCTTGGATTCGGTTTGCCTGATAGGTTTTGTAAGCCCCTGCGGGCAGAGCAGAGCATGCGCTGCAGGGCACCGAACACAGGCACGCATCAGCGCCTAAAAACCTCCTCACAATGGCGAAGAGAGGACCCGGATTCGGTTTTCCTGATTGATAGGACTTGTAAGAGCCTGTGGCAACTCTAGCAAGTAGAGCAGAGTGTGTGCCGCGGGACACCGAAGACAGGCGCGTATCAACGCCAAAAAATAAAAAGAAAGGGGGATCTGTGGGGAGCAATCCGGACTGGACTAAGTTACTGAAATTAAGACTTATTCTGTGCATCTGCTCTCCCACAATATGGCGCTGGGAGAGAAGTAAACAGCTTCCGCACAGCTGCCTCCAGTTCAACTAATAAACTGTAGGACTTGCTCCTGATTGGAGAGCAGCGTACTCGGCGTGTGGGCAGCCGAGTTGGGATTGGCGGAGGAGGACTATAAAGGAGGAGAGAGACGGCATGCACCGGGAACATCTATGGGGAACATCTAAGGGAACCCGTGCAGCCCCCGAGAAGAGCCGGCCGGCGGTGTGCCGCTCCCCTGCGGAGGTGGGGAATGCGGCCAGGGGGAGCTGCCCTTCCACGGAGGTGGAGGGGATAGTGGCCAGCCCAGGAGGAGCCAGCAGCGGACCCGGGGAGGGCCGAGCAGACGAAGGAACAGCGCAGGGTCCTGTGTTGCTCCTCCACGAAGAGGGGGAGCGACATAATGGTGCCGTGACTCGGATATGAAGCCTAGGCAGGATTTAGTGTCGTTCCTCCACGAAGAGGGGGAGCGACAGAGATCCAGGCTCCTGGCCTTGAACTGACCCAGCCCCAGCTGTTGCCGGCATCTGGAGAGTGAACCGGTGAATAGAAGATCTCGCTCCCTGTCTCTCCCACTGTCATGCTGCCTTTCAAATACACCTTCTTTAAAAATTACACAGCAGGCCCTCCTGTCGGCCCCCATGTACTCAGCTCACACAACAGCCTCCCAGAAAGACCGTGGGGCACTGTGTATCGAGAGACTCCTGCACTGGCTGCCCCGGAAGCACCCTGATGAGCTCCCAGGAGAAGCCAGTCTGTGTCCCGGGCTGTCTTCAGCTTCTCTTCTCCAGGAGTCGTCCATCCGTCCATCCACTGATGATACTGCCACCTCCTCACAGGGCCAGGTTGTGCTTGCCTCGCTTTTCAAGATGAAAACGTATCACCGAAGGAGGTTACGGGGAACGAAACCATACAGAGAAACCATCACAGCCAAAATGAACCAGGGTTGCCTGGGAGACGCTGGCACGGGGTGGGGGTGGGGGGAGCAGGGCCTTATTAGTGTCTGGAGAGGGGCTTTCCTTCCTAACCCAGGGGGCAGGTGCCTAGGTGTTAGGTAGACCCACACGTCCTAGCTGCTGTTCTGTGTGTCCGCCGTGTTTCGCAGCATTTGGTAATAGGTGTGAATCTCCATCAAGCTGATCCACGTGTGGTCCAGGACCAGGGTCTGGGAGGAGTGAAGCAGGAGAGGTTTGCAGCTCTGTTTGCCATTGCAAACCATGTGCATGTGTTTACTTTGCTATAATCTAGAAAATGGGGTTACAGAGAGGCTAAGCCACGGTCCTCTCCTGGATCTGGTGAGAGACCAGTCCAGATGATGAACTACCATACAGCCTGATGGGAGTGGTTAAGATGCTGCTTGGGAGGCCTGCATCCCAAATCACAGTGCCTGGGTTTGAGAACAGGCGCTGGTTCCAGCTTCCTGCAAACATACGTCCTAGGAGGCAGCAGGCAACGGGCCAAGTGGGTGGGTCCCTGCCACCCAGCTTAAGTTCTTGCTGTAGGGCTTGGCCCAGCCCTGGCTGTAGCAGACATTTATGGAGGAACCAGTGGATGGAAGAGTTCTCTCCCCCTCTCTTTCAAATAAAATGAAAATAAATAGGTTTTAAAAGCAAAGAGCTATGGGGGCCGGCGCTGTGGCGCAGCGGGTTAACGCCCTGGCCTGAAGCACCAGCATCCCATATGGGTGCTGGTTCTAGTCCAGGCTGCTCCTCTTCCCATCCAGCTCTCTGCTGTGGCCTGCAAAAGCAGTAGAAGATGGCCCAAGTCCTTGGGCTCCTGCACCCACATGGGAGAACAGGAAGAAGCACCTGACTCCTGGCTTCAGATTGGCGTAGCTCTGGCAGTAGCGGCCATTTGGGGGGTAAACCAATGGAAGGAAGACCTCTCTCTCTCTCACTGTAACTCTGCCTGTCAAATAAATAAACAGGTGCTGCATTGCACTTCAATACGATCTTGAGAACATGGAAGAGAACTACCCAAGACCCTCCGAGTCACTTTGGCTACTTTATTAGAAAAGAAACGAATACAGGTGGAAATGAACTTAATCTTGCAATCCAGAACGCGCAAGTATCCCGTGAAGGATTCTTAAGTGTAGAATGGAGAACCAAAGAAAAACAAAACAAAACAAAAAAAGAAAAAGAGAATCATTTAGGAGAGCGTTTTATTTGGCTCCTTCCGGACACTCCTGGGGAAGGGGAAGCCACATCGAGTTCCTGCCCAAGCGTTTGGGATGACCTGGGTGCCCACCTTATCCCACTTAGCTGCCCCGGGACTGCCGCGTCTGCGCGTGCGTCTCCGCCTCTTGGGGCCACAAGTGGAGGCTGAGCAGGTGGTTCCTCAAAGCGGGTGCTCACGCCTGCTCCTGCCATCCGCGAGGCAGCACAGCCCCACGCCCACAGCACGGCTCCAAGCCCTGACTCGGGGTGGGGGGTGGGGGCGGAGGGGAGGCTTGGATGCAGTTTGACAAAACACATTCTGAATATCCAGCGAGTTCCTAAGACAAACTCCAGCCCAGCAAAAGAACTTCTGCTTGAGGAAGCAGCAGAACAGCAGGTAGAGTTAGTTTTATGGGTGTGCGGAGGGGTGGCGCTGGATAAACATGGGTGACAAAGGCTGATTGTGATCGGGGCCGCGCAGGACACAGAGAAGGACAGGAAACTCATGTGGAGAGAGGGACAGCTTCCAAGTCCGTGAGTGCAGCCTTGGCCAGGACGTGTACCGGTCTTCTGGTGCCATAAGAACCCATGAAGAAAAGCAGCACAGCCCTTCAACCCTCTGGGCCCGGAGCTCAGGGGCAAGTCGGTCCGCTTTGCATTATGGAACCCCAAGAATTTCTGCCCCAAATTCTGTCCACCAGGAAGTGCTGCCAACGTTTGCAAAGCCGTCCGGCTCCCAGGGAGGCACGTCAGGGTGGGGATGGCTCTGTCAGGAAAGAAACAAAGGATTGGGTCTTCTTGGGAGGGGGCTTCCTCATGTCCTCATACCGTGGAGACACACTGTGGGACAGGTGGCTTTGCCACGGACTGGCCAGAGTGCTGATGGAGAAGGCCGAGGCCAACACAGGGATTTTTTGAATGTGAGAACCCTGACGGCTGCACCAGCACAGGGGCAGCCGGTGACATGCTTTGTCCCTTCTTTGATGCTGAGCCCAGAAGTTTCCAGAACCAGAAGCATGTGGTACCCATGTTGAGTTCTGAGTTCCTTAGGATCTGGCATGAGGCCAGAAAGCTAACTCAGACATGGGATGATGTTCTGGTGCTGTGGCACTGCGGATAAAGCTGCTGTCTGACACTCCAGCATCCCATATGGACGCCAGTTCGAGTCCCGGCTGTTCTGCTTTCAATCCAGCTCCCTGCTACTGGCCTGGGAAAAGTAGCAGAGGATGGCCCAACGGCTTGGACCCCTGCCCCACATGGGAAACCCAGATGAAGCTCCCAGTTTTGGCCTGACCCAAGCCATCCCTTCGTGAAATGTGCAATTCATAAATATTTGCGGTCACAGTTCCTCCAATCAGTGCAAATCCTTTCCCCTGGCCAGGGTGCTACCCTTCGCTACAAAGCGCGCTGGTGGAAATGGACGGCTTCCCAGGGCCCCGGCCCGGTGCTCCGTGCCACTCACCTGTCACTGCCGCAGGGCGCCCATCTCTTTCAGCCGGGCCAGCAGCTCCCCCTTCTCCTGCATAGCTATCAGATCACTGCAGCCTCCGATGCAGTCTTTCCCGAGGAAGACTCGGGGCACCTGGAACAGCCAACAACAAGCCACTGCAGGCACCCACGCGCTACAGAAAAACCCCTCAACACAGGATGCGTTCAATCCAGAACAGTTTTTCAGCTTGAGGCTGCCCAAGTTGTGAAAGGGGTTGAACGTGTCACTTTACAGACACTTGCTTCAGAGAGAGAAGCCAGGTTGGCTGCAGCCCGGCCACCTGTTCAAGTCCTGGTTTCTCCAGCAGGGCCACAGACATCGGGAGGAAGCCGGCTTCTTAGCATAGCTGTTTGCATTAGGTTGTCTGACTTCTAGGTTTGTGGTTTATTAAATGCAGCCGTTGTTCTGTGCTGTTGAAACATGGTGGGCTCTGTCCCTAAGTACAGAGAGATCAGTAGGTCCTGGCTGCCTCCACTTAATCCCTGGCCATCCTAAGATATTTCAATGCTGTAGCTCAGTGCTGGGGTTGGTGCAGCAGTTTGGGCCACCGCCTGCGATGCCGGCATCCCCATATGAACACTGGTTCGAGTCCCGGCTGCTCTACTTCCAATCCAGCTCCCTTCTCATGTGCCTGGGAAAGCAGCGGAAGATGGCCCAAGTGCTTGGGCCCCTGCCACTCACATAGTAGACCCAGATGGGGATCCTGGCTCCTTGTTTTTGCCTGGCCCAACCCCAGCCCTGCCATTGTGGCCACCTAGGGAGTGAACCAGTGGATGGAAGGCCTCTCTCTCTCTCTTCTTCTCTGTCACTCTTTCAAATAAATAAAAATCTTTTTAAAAAACACAATGTATATGGATCTGAGTATATGGGATAAGGACATTGGTCTGCTTCAGGTCAGCCAAGTCAGGCAGAGTGACAAAGTCATTGCACCTGCTGGCTGGGCCCACTGCAATCCCACTCGCACCCAGAGGGCTTGGGAATCCCAAGGGAGGTGGCAGTCCCTCCACGGCAGCCCAGGCAGTTTCCAACACCTGTGTCACCTGAGGGCCGCCTGGCAGCGAGGAAGCAAGTGCCTTAGGGGTGACCCAGGGAACAGGCAAACGGCTGGAGACAGAGAATGCAGAAGAGGGGCTGGCTTTGCAGGGAGACATCTGTGAAGCGGGGTTCCAGGTTTAGTGGGTTTCCCAGGCAAGGTGGGTCCCGCCCCCACATGACCACGGCCACTTCCTGTGTCCTGAGAGTGAGGAAGAACCCTGGGGTCCAGTCTGTCTGTACAGAGGGGACGATGGCTGGTAACGGGCGGGTCACATAAGTCACCACCTGTGGCCACGGTGCCAGCAGCTTTGCCCATGGAGGCCCCAGCCGTGCAGGCAACACTGCTTTTAGCCATGGGAGGAAGAAGAACTGCAGAGAGCCGAGGTCCCCTGCACCCGGGCCATTCACTGTTTTAGGAAGAAGGTCTCCCCACCCCAGCTTCCAGGGCTTGTGCTTTCTGTCGCCCCTTGACTTCCTTGTTTCCACAAAGTTACCACTCCCACAAGTGACCCCCAAGGCTGCCTCTGGCCAGGGTACCAGCGGGGTCTGAGTGACCCAGGTTGACCAAGAGGCCCTGAGGAGCCAGGAGTCCCCTCGTTGGACAGAAATTCTCCAACTGGACCTAGCATCGCCATCCGGGTCGGCCACTAACCTCCCCTTCCTCTAGTGCATTGGGGCCCCAGCATTCACTTTCTACCAGATCTGGGGATTTTTATCTGCAACCCATCTGTCTGCACTGAGCATCTCTCTATTCCCCCGGGGGATCTGAGGCTTGGGAAACCCCCAGCACCTGAGACAGGCCAGGACACGTGCTCAAGGGCTGTCCCCAGGGTAGTGTCGCACACAGCACTTGGCAAAGGTGCTGGCCTGCCCGAGAGTTGGGAGGCCCCTCTACCCCCCACCCCCAAGCCTGGACACCAGCAAAATGACACCAGCGCAGAGCGCCCCCCAACGGAGCTGAAGTGCAGGCTGCACAGGAATTAATGAAACAGGAAGCCGCCAGGAGTGGTAGTTTCAGCTGAGGGCAGAGGGGGAAGCCCCCTCGGGCTGCCTGTCCTCCACCAGGCCCCCCCTGCTTGGAGGGCCTCGCGAGCCAGTTACCGCGGACCGAGTCTGGCAACACAGGCCCTGGCGCTCTGGGAAGTGGTTTCCTGCTGCCGCCAGGCCACATCTCCTGCGCTGAGGTTCCTCAGCTGGTGCAATTGCCAAGCTCTCCCCCACTTCCTGGGTCCGCGGGCACAGGCTACGTCACTTCCTGCCTGAGCCACTGTGATAGCCTGCAAGTGTCTCCCAGCTTTACCATAGCTCTGGCCCGCCTCCAGCCTCTTCCCCAAAGATTCAAAACAGGCCGAGTCACCCGTGCTCAGACCCACCAGGGGCCTCTCATTTCTCTTCAGGCATAAGCCAATGGCCCTTATACCCGAAGGTTGCAAGGCCTTCGTAACCCATCTCCCATCTTATCTTGGCACTCTGTCCTCTTCCCCTCCTACTAACTCACAATGTTGCAGCCACCCTGGCCGCCTCGCTGTTCCACAAACCTGCCAGGTACGCTTCCACCACAGGACCTTTGCACATGCTGTTCCCACTGCCCAGAAGCCACCACCCCCAGATCTCTGCCTGCCTTTGTAGAAATCCTCTCACATGCTCCCTTCCCAGGGAGGCCCTGCTGGCTCTCCGCTGACAGCTGTACCCTACTTCTTCCTCTCCCTTAATTTTCCTTCGGATCATCTCCCAGAGACCTGTTTTATTTTTTCCATTTAATATCTGTCTCCCTCTTTACAATTTAGGTTAGAAAAAGGCAGGAGGCTGGACTCTTTCATGGCTGTGTTCCCAGGGCCCTGAAAAGCATCTGGAATATCGTAGGTACTAAAAGGTAACTGTTGTGTCCCAAAGTCATCCCTCACTAAGGAGTGAGAAACGGAAGCCGAGGGAGTTTGCAGCCAGCTGACCTCCCTGCCTTGCAGAAAGCGTTCAGAGAGGGTCTTCGGGGAGAAGGGAGTTGATGCAGCTCAGAAACTTGGATCTGCACAAGGAAAAGCAAAGCCTCAAAGAGGAAGAGGTGAGGCACGGATCTAGCAAACAGGCCTCCTGGGCTGGGCCTGACCAGAGGCAGCCAAGTCCTGCCCAGCACCACCCTCACTCCAGCCTACGTGAGCCACCTGCGGCTGCTCTCGGGCTTCCAGTCCCTTTGGGTAGGGGACTCTGAGGCACAGGGTCCTGTAACACAGGAACGCGCTACACTGACTCAAGACTCAAAGAAACTTAAACCTGAAGACCACGACTAGCACCATTCTGCAGAGAAACGGAAGGAAACTCCTTCGATGGCTGCACAGAGAGATTTGCTTTTCCCGCCTGCAGGGCAGGTGCTGCCTGGCTGAGCTGTTTGCAAATTGGAACCACCTGGGGGTCTTTCTGATCACCGGTGCTGGCCCCCACCAGTGCTGGCCCCCACCTCTGTCTGCTGAGGAGGTGGCAGAGGGTGTTTGTAAAGAGCTGCCCAGGGGAGTCCAACAGGTGGCAGAGTTGGGGAGAGGGGACCCCACTGCAGTGTTACATGCACCCAAGCCCCAGCTGCCTCTTGCCCAGGACCCGGGCTCATAGCAATGGGGTAACTGCAGTTGGCTTCCTTCTGCGTGGAGAGAAAGGGGGCAAAGCCCTCCAAAGGCATGTGCCTAGAACCCACAGAAAACCCCGCGAGTTTACTTCACACTGAGACAGGGTATGTGCTTCTGCCAACACGGTGTTCTAGAATGTTCTGCCGGAAAGGGAACCCAGGTGAGCTCGTGGGCACCTGGCACCTGCCCCCTGCCCCCCACCCTGCCCAGGCATACAGGCAGGGGATCTGGCTGGCCGGGCCCTCCCCGGAGCAGCCCCCTGTGGGAGGAACGGCATGCTTTGCAGATAGAAGACAATGGTTCTTAGGGGTCCGGGTCCATTTGCAGCAAAGGGGACTTGGAGGCCACCTCCTCCCCGCTGTTTTGCAGCTGAGCTTCTTGAAGATTCCGCCTAGGACCACACAGCAAGGCTTCGGGACAGCCAGGACAGCCTCTGGCCTCCCCTTGCCAACTGGCCTGGAAACGCCCTGAAATTAACTCAAGACTCTAGTAATGGGGCTTGAGATGAGGGAGGGAGGAGTCAGATAAGGCCGGGTGAGCAAACCAGGCGATGATTAAAGGAAGCCAAGGCAGAAGGGCAAATGCCACTGGGCTACGGGGCCGTGGAAGACAGCACACGTGACGCCCGTGTAGGTGGACAGAAAGGCACGGGTCGCCCCAGCACCCCCCAGCCACCTGCCAGCCCCCCTGAAAGCTGTCAGGGCCCCCACAGCGCTGAAGACAAAGCTGAGCCCCCACGCTGGTGCAGCCCAGCCTCCCATTCAAGGACCGGGCGGGCGGCACCTTCCCCCAGCCTCCCTCCCCCCATCCCCGCAAAGCCCTCTGGGCCCCTTGAAAGAGAGCCCCGGCTGCGACCTGCGAAAGCCGCGGGAAGAAAAAGCCTTGGACAGCGCAGCCCCACTCACCGTCCTGGCCCCCGTGAGCTGCTGCAAGTAATCTTGGATCTCGCTCATGTCGCTGGTGGCCGTGATATCGACGAATTCCAGGAGCCCTTGCTTGAAGGGTAATTCGCTGAGGATCTCCTGGGTCTTCCGGCAGTAGGGGCAGGTGGGCTTGATGAAGACCACCACCTTCCCAGGCTGGATTTTGCTGTTCACGAACTCCTGAGCCATGCCGAGGGCTGCAGTTTCCCGGGGAGAAGGAACGCGCCACTGCAGGTACCGCTTGCCTCCCGGGCTCCGGCTTAAGCCTCGGCCCAGCCAGCTGCTCCCAGTTAATAAGGAACCTCCCTGGAGGAGGAGCTGGCCTGGTAGCTCGCCGAGTTTTAAAGGGACCGCCCCCAAGTCACTGCGGTCTGGCCTGAGTCACCGTGAATGCATGCTTGCCGTGTCGCCGCCGTTAGCAGCTATGGCCAGGGTGACCTTGTCCTCAGACGTCTGGGGAATGCCTGCCCTTTGGCAGGGATCAGAGCTAAGTCACAGTCGGGGGAGGCATAGGGCGCACGCACACAGACCAGCCTGCTGGGGAGGGGACTGAGTGGGCCGCAGGACCTCTTAGCGACAGGGTTGTTTTTTTTTTTTTTTTAAATGCAAACAGAACACTTTGAAATCTCTTTGGAGGAAGTGAAGTTGAAAGTATGACTTTGCACCCGTAGGGAGAGTTGCTCTCAGAGTATTTTGCCTGAACTGTGCACTGGGTGTTTGTTTTCATGGTTCTTGGTGCTTCAAAGTCTGGATATGTCGCAAAAGAAACCAGATGTGCAGCTTCTGTCTGGAAAGTGTGACGCCAGGCTCCTGTTCCTCAGGAGGGGGGTGGCAGTGGCTGGTCCATATCCCCTTGGGACAGGGCAGATGGTGGCTCCAGGGGCCCACGCCTTGGGACACCCCAGAAGCATGTGGGTGGGTGACCCTTGAACGGTGGTTTAGTGCGGAAGCAAATTCCAGCACAAGCCCTGATCGCAAGAACACAGCTCTGGGGCCACGTTGGGCCACAGCAAGTGGAGCAGCTGACTGTAACACCAGAGGCAAAGCATCCCCTGTCTGAGCGATGGTTAGGGTCCCCGGCTGCTCTGCTTCTGATCCAGCGCCCTGCTAATGCCCCTGGTAAAGCAGTGGCAGGTGGCCCAAGTGCTTGGGCTCCTGCCACCCACGGGGGAGACCTGGATGGAGTCCCTGGCTCCTGGCTTCTGCCTGGCCCAGCCCCAGCCGTTGTGGCCACCTAGGGAGTAAACCAGCAGATGGAAGATCTCTATGCTCCTTACTGTCCTGTAACTCTGCCTTTCCAATACATAAATAAATTTTAAAACAACAACAACAACAATAAACAGCTCAGCCCATGTCTGCCTTAGGTGCCGTAAGACACGGGGCAGGGACTGTGGGTCTAGCAGGCTCTTTGCTCTCCCTAGCCCCCTCCCCTGGCCTCATCCTCACCTCCAGAGTGGGAATGCCCGTCTCGTGCAGGGGGAATCATGGTTTCCCCCTGAACCTTTTACACAGAAGCTGGATGGGGCTGGGGCCCAGTTGGTGCCACCAGGATCAAGCCAGTGGAGTCCCAGACACTGTGCCACAAGGAAAGGCTGTGCTAAAAACCACCACCCCCGGCCATTTCTTGCTCTCCTGCCTCCGCCCTTCCCGAACCTTGCTGCTGTTTGTTATCTCTGCTCTCCTCCTGTTCTTTCCTCATCTCGGTGCCTCCTGACCTCCTTATCAGCCACTCTGCTGGAACTGCTCTGTGTTGCAGCCAGATGTCCCCGGAAGGAAGTCGGGGGCGTGGAGTTTTGGGTGCACTCGTGGAGTGGACCCGACTCTGAACCCTGTTTGCGTGGGGCCACCTGGAGTAGGGACCCAGCCTGACGGGATGGCAGCCATTCCAAACCCTGTGGGGTAAACAAGGCCATGGTGCTGACTGCCCGGAGCGCTGCTCTGACGCCTGCAATGGGAAACTTCCTTGAGAAAGCTCAGGCGTGCCGTGATCAGCCACAGGTCCCCTTCGCCGGTAAAACCCCTTTTCTCCTGCCTCACAGTCGTCGTCGTCTTCTTCTTCTTCTTCTTTTTTTTAACTTGACAGGTAGAGTTATAGACAGAGAGAGAAACAGAAAGAAAGGTCTTCCTTCTGTTGGTTCACCCCCCCAAATGGCCGCCACTGTTGGCACTGCACCGATCCAAAGCCAGGAGCCAGGTGCTTCCTCCTGGTCTCCCATGAAGGTGCAGGGGGCCCAAGCACCTAGGTCATCCTCCACTGTCTTCCCGGGCCACAGCAGAGAGCTGGACTGGAAGAGGAGCAACCAGGACAGAATTCAGCGCCCATATGGGATGCTGGCGCCGCAGGCGGAGGATTAACCAAGTGAGCCACAGCACGGGCCCCTGCCAGACAGTCTTACAGCCGCCCAAGACTACTCTTCTGTCCATAAATATCTAACAGAGTGCATTCTGGGTAATCCTAGCCTTGTTCATCTCTGTCCCCAGCCTCACAAGAACCTTTGCTTTTGGTGGCCCGTTCTCCTACAAAGGGCTTTTCTTTTCCTTTCTTTTCTTTTTCTTTTTCTTTCTTTCTTTTCTTTTTTTTTTTTTTTTTTTTTGACAGGCAGAGTGGATAGTGAGAGAGAGAGACAGAGAGAAAGGTCTTCCTTTTTCCGTTGGTTCACCCCCCAATGGCCGCTGCGGCAGGTGTGCTGCAGCCGGCTCACCGCGCTGATCCGAAGCCAGGAGCCAGGTGCTTCTCCTGGTCTCCCATGTGGGTGCAGGGCCCAAGCACTTGGGCCATCCTCCACTGCAGTCCTGGGCCACAGCAGAGAGCTGGACTAGAAGAGGAGCAACCGGGACAGAATCTGGCGCCCCGACCGGGACTAGAACCCAGTGTGCCAGCGCCGCAAGGCGGAGGATTAGCCTAGTGAGCCACGGTGCCGGCGGGTTTTTCTTAAACAGTGTGATTGATGGAGGCTGGGATTTGGGGGGGACTCTGTTGTCTGCCCCCTAATGCAGTGTCGGACTAGAGTCACCTAGAGTCTTAGGGGCAGATGGCCACAGGGCGCAAGCAGAAGAAGGCATTTTTTGTGAGGCAGCTGTGAGATACGGGAGAGAAACAGGCAAACAGGCGGTAAGGAAGGTGCCCTCCCCCCATTTCTCAGAGACACCGTGGCTTCAGCTCAGTGAAAACCCGAGAGCGCAGAGCACGTGGCTGTGCTGGCCCCTCGAGGCTCTGTGGCTTCGGCTGGTCAGGAGGTCAGCGTGGACTCCAGGGGCACTTTGGTGGGGAGCTGGGGTGGGGGCTGCAGGGAGGCCCATCCTCAGGTGCTGTGGACCAGAGGGGGCCGTGTGTATGGAAGGACAAGAGGGGGAACCCCCCAGGCCCTCCTTGAAGCCCTCAGTGGGAAGTGGGGGTCCTTTTTCAGGAGAGAGGCAGTCGTGCTGTGCAGCTGCTTGGCCACACACCGGGGAGAAGTGGGAAATGCGTGCTGCTGCCAGGAACGTGATCCATCTGCACCCACAGGCTGGTGGGGGCTGCAACGAGCTGACCACCATGGGATGTTTTGCTGGCTTTTGTTCTTGCCCATTTTGTAGGATTTGCCCCTGTAGGACTCCTGCCACACACACACCGGGAGCACCCAGCAGCATTGGTGGGATGAAAACCAACCCCCCTGCTCTCTCTCCCATTCCTGCTCGGCATTTCCCGTGTCGGCTGTGGCAGAAATCCAGGAGATATCTTTGCTGTCCCCTGCCCTTCCTTATGACAGTGGTCAAGTCCTCACTGGTCTGCCTCCTAGGTCCCGCCCCACTCTGAACACCTGCCCCTGCTGACCCAGCTCGCTCCAGTTCTTCACACCATCTCATGGCTCCCTCTCTCCTATCTCATTGCCCACTGCTGGGTGATCTTTTAAAATGCAACCCTGTTATGTTCATGTTCTCTCTCTTTCTTAAAGGCCATTTCTCCAGGAAAAATCCAGATCGTTAGAGGAACGTGGCCCTGTGTGATTGGCTCCCCCTGCCCCACCCTTCTCCTTTACTGCAACTGCGTGGCCTCTGAGCCATGGCCATGCGTCTGCCACTCACACCTCTGCTGCTGTCTGTGCCTGCAGTCTGTGCGTCAGACTCCTGCTAGTCCGATAGGATCCACGTCCAGATCATGTGTCCACCCCTCTGGGTGGTACCCAGGTCATGCACCTCTTTCTCCCTGGCTCGGGTGCCGCTGGCTGAGCACACATGACACGCTGGGTCCTGGCCCATCACCTGTCACTGCTGCTTTCCAGTAATGGCCTGTCACCTGCATTGAGTCCCTCGTGGACAGGAGCGTTACCATAATCCAGTAGGTGAGAAGAGCCATCCATCCATGCATCTTCCCGATAAATATTTGCAAATCGGCTGCTCCATGCCAGAGACAAAGATCAAACCGCTGCAGGCCCTGTCAGTGGGAGTGGACAGCCTGGTCGGGGAAGTGACATGGAAAATGGTCACATGTTGCTCAGTATTGGGGCAGATTGATAGGAGGACTCACTGGCACTGGGTTTGTCCACCTGGAGCAGGTGGGGCGATCTGGGCTGCACCCTGAGAGGTGAGAAGCTCTTGAGTCTACAGGGTGGGAATGGGCACTGCAGGCTATGGGAGCAAGAACAAGCGAAATGACGGAATGATGCTGGCCATCAGGTAGGCTGTCAGTGGGGGAGGGGAGGGGAGGGAGCCAGGTGATGGGCAGGTGCATGGGGCTGCTGTTCACGCTGGACAGTGGAGACTTCAAGCCTTGCAAGAGAGGGGCCGCCTAGGTCTCTGTTCAGTGTGGGTTGATTGGCAGTCAAGTGTTTGCCGAATGAGTGCCAGTGTCACCATCTCCCAAGTAGTACAGTGACATCACAGGAGGGCTCCAGGGAGAGACAGGAATGCCTGGGGCAAGCACATTTTTCCAGGTCCCTCCAACCTCGCCCTGGAACCAGCCCTGGCTCCACGAGGCTACAAGTGGCTCAGAAAGGCCGTGCGGCAGGTAGTGGGCAGCTGTAGCTCTGAGCTCCTGCGAGGCTTCCTGGAGCAGTCAGGGCTGCCCTCAGCTGTTTGGATGTGCTGCTGTCGGGTGCTCCGGCGAGTGAACCGTGTTTGCTGCAGCCCTTTCCAGACACAGACCCTGTGCTTGTGCCGTTTCCAGAGTCTGTCCTGTGGATTTTTTTATAATTGTTTCAGAGACAGAGTGCGCATTTATTGATTCATTCTCCAAACACCTGCAATGGCCTGGGCTGGGCTTGAAGCTGGGAATCAGGTGTCCTACGTGGGTGGCAGGAACCCAACTATGTGGGTCCATCCCATTGC